TATAGTCCCAGCTCCTCGGGAGGCTGAGGCAGAAGGATCGCTTGAGCCCAGGAGTTTGAGGTTGGTGTGTGGTATGCTGACACCATGCCACTTGCCTGGGCAACAGAGTGAGACTGTCTCAAAAAAAAAAAAAAGAAAAAAGAAAGAAAGAAAAGAAAGCAGGAGTGATCTGACTATAGATGAAGAATTACAGAGAGTATTAGTGGAGCTCTGATAAACCTGGAAATCTGAAGGACCTCAGTAATTAGAATCCAAAAGGATGTGATGTGGGCCACGCCTAATATACTGTCTTGTGACCATGATGTCAAACATTAGTGTCCTCTCTAGACTACAGGATTCTTAGGGTCAGAAATCTTACTTTTTCTTTTAATCTACCCCCCAGGATGTAGCCTAGTTCTAGGAGCTAGAACATAAGAAGCACTTAATAAATATTTAATGAGGAATATTAGTAACCAATCTCCCCTGGACCATGTCTATTCCACTTACTAGGTTATGGTTGTAAAATCAGAGCTTTCTAAACCGTGGTCTGGAGACCTCTAGTGGTCATCAGCAATGCACTAGATGAAGCCAAAATCTGAAAGATGACAGGTAGGAAAGGGCCAACCACAAGCGCACAGGTTAAGGCCTGAAATGAGTCGGACAAGTGGGTGCTATGGTAGAGGAATAGAATAAAGAAGTGTAAAAATGAAAGGCATTTTTTAAAGGAGTCTCAATTAAACGATACAAATGCAATCCCTTTACCTGAATGCAATACATATGAAGACAGAAATTGTTTCCTAATAATCAACTTTATTGTAAAGTAAACAAATTTAGTTCATATCCCCTCATAGCACCACACACACTTTTTTAAAATTTAATTAAACATAAGTGATTAGTATTTTAAATCATATTGCCATTTAAGAGACCATAAAATAACAGAATATGTGATTTTGAAAAGAAAAATAAATCACCCCTTTATAAATTCAAAGCATGGAAGATGGGAAGAAAATATTCCCTCTGTATTAAATTCACTGTCCCCTTCTCAAAGACAGTCAATTCTATGAGTCATCTGCAGGTCATTTCAGATCTCAGAGAAACCACAGATCTCATTTTGATAACATGTTGGTTATGCTGGAGAGGCACCGCTCTTTCAAAATTATACAGGGACTTATGTGTTATATTCACACTTAAACAAAATGTTCTTTATTCTCAGTAGGGAATCTTATTGGACTCTGAAACCACTTTGCAGGGATTTCATAGCACAGTTCAACATCTTACTAGCTCGATAAACTTGAGCAAGTTACTTAACCTTTCTGTATCTCAGTTTCCTCCTTCGTAAAATAGGAATGATAGTCTCTTTGGAGCTATCAGAATAAATGTATTATTCATCTAAAGAACCTACAGTAGTGTCTTGTGCCTAGTAATGAATCAATAAATGTTTAGTTACCACAATTAATGTGCTAAAAATGATCTAGCATGACCTATGTAAAGCCAACAAAGATTTGATGTCTTTAACAATAGAAAAGCATATTTTAGAAAAAGCTTATGTGAGTCTATAATACTCATAAAAATACACCTCTTTCTCTTAGTTAACTGAAAAATAATCACTCAATTGAGATTATGAATATTTGAAATGCCTTAAAAATTAATTGCCACAGAAGAAACCATTAATCACAAATCCTACTTCACCTAAGAACTAAAGAACATAAAGAGGAGACTATTTTTCTCTTTATAAAAGCAGTTACAATTGTGCAAAGACTAAAAAAAATCTGTGACCATACCCATAGGTATGAACCAAATGTTCTAGCAAGGAAGAAGCTCGTGGGGGAAAAAAACCATTTATCCCATTATACATAAACTTATTTGAAAGCCTATGAAGCTTCTGAAGTTGTTCGGTCAACTTTATAGTGGAAATGAGAGAGTTTAGATTAAATATGAGAATAAAAGGAGTTACAAAGTGGGAGATGGCAGCTGAGACAACCAAACAAGAGAAAACTGTGTTTTATTATAGGCAAAGAGAACAGAAAAGTCCATTTCCCTGGGACTCTCCCTCCTTCTCCTCATATTTAGGATAGAAAAAAAACAAGCCATCCACCCAACTAGCTGCTCAACCAATTAAGATCTCTGAATGATATTATTCACATACACAGCTCCTCCTTGCTTCAAAGCAGAAAGTCTATCCTACAGAAAGTAAAAATAAATGCAGTTTTTTTATAAACAAGATCAACATCAGGGATACCAAGAACAAAAGGTTAGCGGTCCCCATAACCTTTTTGGCGCCAGGGACCAGTTTCATGGAAGACAATTTTTCCATGGACTGGGGGTGGGAGGCGGGAACAGGAGGGTACAGTGATCAATGGGGCACTCACCTCCTTACTCTGCAGCCTGGGGTCGGGGGAGTGTTCCTAACCCTGGACAATAGCAGTCTGAAGCCTGGGGATTGGGGACCACAGCTATAGATCACTACTTGAGTCAATGTTTTTCTATTAATTCAGTTTATAGCTAATGTACTAGGAGATAATGATTTGAAATACAGTGACACATGCACCCAAAATATACTTACAATCTATTATTCTAGTTCCCTATATAACCACTCATACAAAGTTCTCCAGTAGAACCTGCACATTTGTAAAATGCTCTCCTGATGTTGACATTGCATTATAAATGACTAAGAAAAATGACAGAGACAATTCGGGAAGAGAAAAAAGGCATTTTGGCCCACTTTTTCCCACTCAGCTTATCTATATATAATAGTCATAGCCAGGAACTATTTACTAAGCTTTCAATAAGTGATTGGCACATATGTAGGGAATAAACACACATACTCCTTGTTCAGCAAGATTTAAGGGACAAGGCATAATTTGCAAACATGCAAAAGTGTCACAAAGTTAGCAAACATTCATGTCATAACATGACATGGGACAGGAGACAGAGTTAGGAGTGGGAGCCTTGGAAAAGCAGTATTCTGTAGCCCTCCATAGAAATGGGTGCGTAGTCATCAGCAGTGGCTTCGAACCTGGATGGGCACAGAAAAATATGATTGCCATCCACACTCTCTTAATGACTCCCCATACTTTACCACCCCCATTCTCATTCATCTAGCCAATCTGGAAGATGAAATGAGAAGAGAGAAAGAGAAAGGGTGAATCTGAATGAGAATAAATTTCAAGAGGGGAATGTATAGCACATAAGTTATTTCAGGATCTCATGCTACTACATACCTGGAAATGTTAAGTGGATAGCCAAATGCTATGCTTTATCAGAAAGGAACTAGGAGTTCAAAGCTCACAGGAAAATAAAAATTCATAGGGGGAAAGAAAATTAAAAAAACAACCTTGGCATTAATGAAAAAAAGTATATAATATTATAGTCATTGATCTGCATGAACACAATGGCCCCATTTGATAGATTTTTACTTCTTTCATTTTAGATCTTTACAGAACTCAAAGTCACACTTAAATGCTGAAGTAGCTTAATCATCAATGGCTTAAAACATGGAGTATTGGCTGGGCATGGTGGCTCAACCCCTGTAATCCTAGCACTTTGAGAGGCTGAGGTGGGATGATCACTTGAGGCCAGGAGTTCGAGACCAGCCAGGGTAACATAGTGAGACTTTGTCTCTACAAAAAATTAAAATTAAAGTATTACCCAAGTGTGGCATGTATGCCTATAGTCACAGCCACCTGGGAGACTGGGGCAGGAGGATTGTTTGAACCCAGGAATTGGAGCTTGCAGGGAGCTATGATATGCTACTGCACTCTAGCCTGGGTGATAGAGTGAGACCTTGCCTCTAAAAAAAATTAAAAAATAAAAAACTTGAAGCATTTATTATAGAAGTAATTCTATCATGTTTAATAAGGTAAACAAGTAAGGTGGTATTTTCAGCAAGAAAATAGAATTGGACCCTGGAATGTATTTGATTCAGTTTGCCCAACCTGAAAGATAGCCTTGATAGCTTGGGGCAGAATCTTGAAAATGTCTGGAAAAACCTCCAGAAAGCAATGAGCTAGACCAATGATCAATCATTACCATATAAAACTACAATCCTTTTCAGTATCATGCAGTATTAAGTGGAAAATATTCAAGAAAATATTCTAGAGATGTTTTCTTATATAGATATTCCTATTACAAAAATATATAGAAGACTATTACCAAACCAAAATTTACATCTCATATATGATCATCTACATTAGTGTATAAAATTCTAATGCCTAACAATTAAATATAATGTGTATACTTTGGATTCTCACTCAAAAATATCTATATAAAGAGACAGTTTCTGGGCCGAGCGCAGTGGCACACGCCTGTAATCCTAGCACTCTGGGAGGCCAAGGCGGGCAGATTGCTTGAGGTCAGGAGTTCAAAACCAGCCTGAGCAAGAGCGAGACCCCGTCTCTACTATAGAAAGAAATTAGTTGGCCAACTAATATATATAGAAAAAATTGGCCGGGCATGGTGGTGCAAGCCTGTAGTCCCGGCTACTCGGGAGGCTGAGGCAGCAGGATTGCTTGAGCCCAGGAGTTTGAGGTTGCTGTGAGCTAGGCTGATGCCATGGCACTCACTCTAGCCTAGGCAACGAAGCAAGACTCTGTCTCAAAAAAAAAAGAGAGACAGTTTCTGAGATACCAGGAATTTGAAATGTATTGCATATTATATGTCTCCAAAGAACTATTGTTGTGTTAAATGTGATAATGGCACAGAGGCCATGTGAAAAAGTGTCCATACGTTTGAAATATAGATACTAAAGTATAAAGAGATGAAATGAGGTTTTAAAATATTTCTAGAAAAAAAAAAGTTTGATAATTATTGAATCTGAGTAATGGGTTTATGGAAATTCATGTATTACTTTTCATAGTTTTGTGTAAGTTTGAAATTTTTCATAATAATTTTTTAAGCATTTAAAAACATTCTATTACCTAGATGTACCCCTAAAGGACCCTACTAAGTGACAGGGAAAAAAATGTCCTCACAGGATTTAACCCTTTGCACTTGCTTGCTTCTTTCTCATTATCCACACTCAACATCCGAGTGCAAAGGGTTAAAAATTGAGGTACAAAAATCATAAAATTGATATTAATATTCTTAGATTCATTCCTTTATACAGTTAAGAATGTCATCTAATTTAAGAAAAATTTTTAATGAAGCCCCTGTTAAAATTTCATGTTAAATGACTCATAATGCTTTATTACAAAGCAACAAACTATATATGCCCAAAATATGTATGAAAACATTGTGCCCTTCACAAAAGCAGCCTTTTCCCTGCTACAAATGTTTAAAATTCACAATGTACTCTTTCTATCTCAAAGACTTTTTAAAAATTATTTTCCTTCTTTAGGTAAATTATATGATGAGAAAGAACTGTGCAAAATTTCTCTAAATAATGCATAGCAAAGGTTTTAAAAAAAAAAAAATAAAATGCTTCCAGCCAAAAAGACTAACTGGGAAAAAGGAACATTTTCAAAAGCATTTTGGAACCTTATTCCACCTCTGTGCTAAGCTCTCTTTTTCCTCCCAAAATACGTCACTTAACTGTCTGTCAGAATAACTCTTGCCCATTCTACCTGATCACTCTCCAAAGCTGCAGCTTTTCCTGGATTCACTCCTCAATGACAAGCTGTTCAAACAGAGAGCACCTATCAAAACGAGTATGATCATCTGCTCCTTTCAGGATCTACGGCTGTCCGTCAGGAGAAGTAATTAATGGGCTGATTGTGTATGAAAGCGTCATCCCATCAGTTTGCTGTCTGGCTTGAATAGCTCATATCAGCTCTTCATTCATGCCAAGTACGCTCACTGTCCGGAAATATGATAAAGCCATCCCTCCTTTTGGATTTTTCCCTCACTATTCAAAAAACAGTGTACCAGAACTATGTGTTACAGAAGCTCAAGGAGAACAGAAGAAGAAATCCCTTCATCCTCTACAGAAAGGAAGCTAAGGGACTGAAAAGTTGGTAAAGAAAAAAAAAGGAAAGCAAGAGAGTGCAAGAGGACATCTATGCTTCTAGTCCAGATCTTTTTTTAAAAGCAGCTTGATTTAGGAGTATGTGTAATTCTGAAATATATGAACAAGCAGAACTTTTCCAGAGGGGAAAATGTCTATAGAAACCACCAGGATTTCTCATTGCTGAAGCATTCAATGAATTTTTAATAAGTTCTGAACACTCAGATTGTCTGTGGTCAGATCAACTGCTGTTACCAGATAAAGGCAAAACTCACCCTTCTGGTTCTATAATCCTATCCAAATGGAGTCTTCATCTAGCGCATGCTGCCCTAACTAATGCTTCAGGATTATCAGGAATCCAGATAGAAAGACACTGCAAGAAATAAAACACACTGGGAAAAGGAAATACGAAAGGAAAGTAGAGAAGGCATTTCAGGTACCGAAGCTTACTATTTCCAGACAGAGTTGAAATTACTGAGCTTCAAACAAACCACTGCCAGGTAAGATTTAATTTTATAACGTTAATTTATATCTTGACTACTGAAATTAATCTGCTCATGCTGTGAATGAGTGAGGTGGTTTGAATTTCAAGCAGTCCTCCCTAAAGCTTTATGTAGATTTAAGCTTTGTGAGGCAAACATTTGTTTTTACTTATGCTGCATAAACAATTCACTCGTAACTAGATAATAAAACATCCCAAAAAATCTCATTCATTTTTTGTTGGATTTGTCCCATCTTTGCTTCATTAAAAAAAAAAAAAATCCCAATTTTGTTCTATTTAATAGCTTGAAAAAATGCATGAAGAGAGCCCTAAATGGTGCATAAGAGCCATTCACAGATGCTATTTACCAACCACAGTCAAATACTTTGGTTCCCAGGGTACTTGGTAAAACAAAGAAAAATTAATAACCATCTTAAATATTTCTGTTAATGCATAAGAACAAAGCTCAATGACTGATTTTTTTTCTGTTAGCAAGGAAAAAAAAATCTGTGCTATCACTCTCATTCACGCTAAAGAAAAACAATCTCTACTAAATTAAGTGTATAACACTCTTATAGAATGGGGCTAATTTACCCTAAAGATACTAGGCATATTTTTATAACATACTAAATGAGAACGTTTTTCTGATTTAACAAAAGAAAAAGATGTCTGGTACCTTAAAACCTCAAAAGCTTTAGCTCAGATCAGTGGTCCAAACTGTACTGTAAAATACAAAGAACTAGTGAAACCATCAAAGAATTTTAAAGGCTACAGTGCTTTTTAGAAATTCTCTAGAAATCACTCCATAATGAGACTTTTAGAGAGACTAGCTCTTGTAAAAACAACAGAAAGGAACTATCCAACCTCCTTCAGCTAATATTTTAATTTCCCACATGGATTTTCAGCAGAAATTCAACCATATTAGTTTTCATTTAAGTTTAACTGGAAAAGTTAGGTTGAAAGCATAATCCATAAAGAAGTCCTACAACAACAACAAAAAATATTTCTAGAACTCTAGAAGACAGGAGATAAGGAAAACAATAAAAGAAAATCACACTGAAATATGGAAATCTTCTGTTAATACAAGGAAAGTTATCAGAAGTGATTTAATACTTGTCTAAAAACAGTCAAATTTGAAATTCTTCTCTTCCGATTCCCTGAATTCTTTCCTATTTCCAAATTTTAATTAAGAGAGTGAATTACATGATCCCTTCACCCTTTTCAAGACAGTTTATAAATAACCTTAAATATTGTAATTCTTTTGCATCTGAAGTCATTATAAAATTCACCTGTCATTTCCAATACCAAAGGAAGCAGCAATGTACAAGCAGTGATTGTATACCAATTTGTTTTGGAGAGAAATATTTATAAATCTCAAAATACCTCATTTTTATACCAGACACAATTAAAAGTATTGTTTTTTGGGGGGTTTTTGTTGTTGTTTACCTACATTGAGACTTACCTGAACCCTTAAGGGTTCTTTTCATCTGTTTTCTCCTTGTTATTTTGTAAACTGACATGCTTCAAAAATATGTATATATTTTAAGTGAAAAATACTAATCAATATTTCAAAGCAAAGATGTTTTAAGTTAATTTGGGCAAAAATATGAGATTTATAATATTATGCTCAAACAATTTGCTTTCAAAATAAAATTAAGGGGACATAAAATAATATTCCTTAAGTCTTCCGGATTTTATTTACTCATAAACAGAGACTCACGTCCCACTCATTTGGGAACTTTGCTTTTTTATAACTTAACTTTTAATGACAATGGATGTGCAAAGGGATACTACCCCCCTCCACCCCATTTGGTCCTTGCCCCAGTGAATCTTCGCTTTCCTTCCTTTCTAAATCAAGACTCTTCTCTATAATAATCCATTCTGAAAAAATGATTATTGAAGCTTCAATAACAGCTTTCAAAAAAATACCCCACAGCAATTTGGGATAATCTACATTTTCTTCATTTTGGTGAGAAAGTGAATAAAAAATTGAAAATTGCTTCAACTTACCATCTCATGGGTACCAAAGGACAAGGGATTTTATGCTAGTACCAGAAGATTTGGTTTTCTCTGCTACTGATAGAATTAACAATTAAAGAGATTTTGAACATTCTTCGGAAGTATCCAAAGACTGCCTACTTGTTTCTGTAATTTAAACTGTATTTTATTCATACATATTATATAGACATATTATATTGTAAAAGTCATATGGGATTATATGTTATTGATTTCTTTCATAGAAATGCAGCAAATATTTTGACTACCATATCCTTATAATGGTATCTATTACTATATCCTTAGATTCTGGTCATTTTAAATCATCCACAAGCTGTGAGCTTTTTGCTTAAACCATGATAAAATAAAATAGGTACATAGCTCAAAATAAAGCACATCCATTTAGTGTCTGTTGACATAACAATCTTAAAAACAAAAGTCATTTTTTGTCTAAAATAACAAGCAATATAATTTTGTATATAAACTTAGAAACATACTTAAAATTCATTTTTACGTGTTAACAATTTAAAGTGACTGACACTACGTAATATATTTAAATGTATTAAAGGTGTATTCACTGATATCTGCATTATTATAACTTTAAAAATTTTTTAAAGAATATTTTCATTCCAGTATAATGGCAAAGTGTTTCAAGCTTGACTCGACAGGGTATTTCAACAAGCCAGTATATTCGTTCCTTATTATGGTTAATTTTTCTTTATGAAGTGACCGAATTTGAATAAGGATGTAGTTCATTTTGAAGATCCATCTCCTCTCCAGTTTCTTCCTGCTGAAAGAGAATAATCTTTGGTTTGTGACACCACAATCTGTGGCAGGGGAAGTGGCTCTGATACCAAACAGATGATTATATCCTTTCAGTATGAACTAGCTGCAAAAGAGATGTGAGCACTATCATTTCAAGTCATTTCACTGAGATGCTAAAGAGATGCATGACAGGAACTGAATTAGAGAAAGATGCTTTTATTGCATTTGTCACTTTTTCAGCATCAACTACGAAAGATAAAAGCACCATCTCACAGTTTTCTTCCTTAATAATTTGAAAAAGAGAACAAATATCCAGTTAGTTAAATCCACACATAATGATACAATGGGAATGAGGAAAATGCCAGGAAGCAAGCAGACAATAATGAAAGAGGAACATAGAGAACTGAGGAATAGGTGCAAAATTTCACCTTGCTTCAAACAGAAATAGTGATCCTACTTAGGAAATTGAGAAAAGTTACCAGTACATTCAAAATGGGAAAGACAATGTCTTTGAATGAGAAAGAGATCCCTAAATATAAAGTGATCCCATGACATATATTAATGAGTATATGATATATAAACTAGTATTGTAACATGAGGGTGGGAGGGAGCTGGTTAACACCCTTCTAAGAAAACATGAATTTATGAAAAATAAATAAATAAATAAATAAAAGAGTGTGAGAGACAGGAATCTAATTAGCAAAACTACTGTGTTCTATGAAAGTCTTCCACAAAAATTTGCAAAAAGATAATAAATTAGGAGTTAGGGCTCAACGAAGGGAACAAAAATAAGAACTCCTCTTACAAACGCAATCTCTCTTCTTTTTATAGCCTTTGTTTACAAACATAGCTGCCAAAGGACAAAGCAGACCAACCAACCCTAAACACATGTGCAGTTTATCCTTTGATTAGTGAAAATACCCTGGTTCAAAATATCAGTCATTTGGGCTTACCCTCCTAGACTCAGAGCCTGTATAAATATTAGGCATGAAAAAACAATAACAACCCATGCATAATCACAAGCCACGCTGAAGTCTCGTTATCTATATTTACACAGTTTGCTTGATACAATGGTGTATTAGAGAATTCTTAAAGCATTTATTCAGTCCTGTGTAGTGGTTCATTACAACCACTGTATTATTCAACAGTTGCTTGAAGAGCCTAACATCCTCCATTTTTCATGTTGGAATTATTAGTGAAATAACTCAAGCATTCGTACCAATCAGAAAACATTACCACTTTTATAGATCCATTTTTGATGTCACATTGTTGTCATCATCAGAATATGTGGGCCTTCCCATTTACTGATTATCACTATAGCAATATAGCACTAAATAATGTGTTGACTAGCAAAAGCCAGAGACAGTTTCCAGTACAGTAATTGAATAAAAATCCTTAGCTGTTTATAGAAATTTTTGGTACAATAATCTAAAGATGCTGGTTGGTGCATAATCTAAATCTATCAGGCTAGTATATAACAATGCTATTCTAATATTTAATCTTTCATCAATTGCATATCTTCCTTTCATATGCGTGCCAAGGACATAGTCTTCCACATGCAGTATTTTCTGGGAAACTTGTGGTAATACCTACAGATGAGTTTTTCATGCCTGGAAACATTCATAGCACTTTGATGATACCTGTTTTATAACACCTTATTAGTTTGCACTGGAAATCTATTTATATACTAGTCTTGCCTATGAAACCCTGCATTCCTCATAATTGAGGGCCTTAAGAATAAAGACCATATCTCATTTATTTGTCTATTCCCAAGGTAAGCCCAGCACTAATCAATAGTTCTGTTAAATGAATGTGAAAATGTATCCTAATACATTCTCAAGTATAATTCCAAACAGGTGGAAGAACAGTGATCCTAAAATATACCTTGGTTTCACTTCACTGATAATGGACAAGTATGTCAACTACAGAGAAGTCTCAATATGGGGGCTGTTTGGAGCAGTTACACTGAAATAATAGCTATGAAAAGATCACATCTGTTAGGGGTATTATGTGATGACATATGCAAATATAGGACAGCAAGTTTATCCCTTATACTTCTGCTGTATTTGATATGGCGGAAATTACGTTTGCCATACCATATTGTGATCTAGAACTTGACTAATAGTCCTAAAAGATCTAAATTGGTCTTGCTATTAAAAACTGATGCAGGGGAATCTGGATAAGCATTTTGCAAATGAAATTGAAGAGTTACTGCAATCAGCTTCCTACTTAAAGATGAGGCTGGGGAAGGGACACACT